TTATTTGCCACAAAACGTCATATGAAATCCAGATCACAGCTGTTAAACCATAAAGCTTTATAAAAATTCAAATGGAAGGAAGTGCAAATTTCTGCCAAGTATGAGATGCCTTCACTTTTCCCTCCCATTACAATCATCATATAAGCCTGTGAGAGGCTACAGGTAATTAGTTGCCAACCCGTATTTTAAAATTAGGTTTCATATAAAAAGCCCACAGTTCTACCTTTCCTAGAAAGATGAGCTCTGTGCTCCTGGACCTGCTTCCCTGCGGTCAGGTGCTCTAGTTTGCCCAGTTCCACCACCCCCACCTTCATCACCTGCCTCTCTCCTCTAAGCACCTGAGTCTGCAACCTCTCCATTGGCATAGCTCCCCCTTTTATAAAGAACTGGGGGGCTCAAGCAGAACAAGTAACTTGCCTAATGTTAAACAGTGGTAGAGGTTGGGTTTTCAACCTAGATATTTCAAATAAATTCTCTTCTCTTTCCACTGTAACAACTGAAAATGAGATGAATTCACCTCATTTATTCGACTTCCTTTACTGGTCTACTCTGCCACAAGCCAGTGGATAAGTATGTATATTTCCCTTTCCGTCCAAACGTATCTGACCCAGAACTTGCCACACATTGTAATTTCTGATCTGCTGTAGGCCAAGGACCATCTTCTGTGAAAGTAACTCAAAGCCGTCTTCTCATTGTTGTGTCAAAAAAAGCAACACAGGATCATACTTTTCAAGTGCTGCGCTTTAATTTTATTACAAATCAAGCAAACATCATCAATGTATCAAATGCTTTAATTCACATTTCTCTGTCTGTAGGCATTGACCACAATACAGACCCAACACAACAAAAGCAGTTAACACAGGGTAATTAGTGATAGGGACATAGTACTGAGGCCAAGGGGGGAGAAAGTACATGAGGCCAGCTGGCTGCTCGAGCGGACCCGTCACAAGTGTCCTCGACACTGTGGGTTCACAGAGCCGATCCAGTCAGTTCACCTGCAAGTGATCAGGGCCAAGGATCTGGCTGCTCTAAACTTGCACAAAACAGAACTAAAACCAGAGCGCCGATTTATGTGCTGGTCTCATTCAAGCTGATCAAATTTGAGAAGAAGACTGCTGGCAGAGCCCAGAACTGGAGTAATGAGAACAAAAGTTCTTATGAGCCACCGTCACCCAAGTACACAAAGCAGCCTTCCTTACTCTAGGAATTTGCTCAGATAGCCCAACCTTCTCATCCAATCAGGTTGTCCCTTTGCCTGGACAACGTTACAGGAACAAGGAAAGCAATCTAACTTTCCAGCTCTCTTTTCCACATTCCGAGTCAGTCATCAAAAAGTACCACATGATGGCCATTTCCTATAGTTTATCTTGCAAGGCGCATTCTGCTTTGACACTTCCCTTTATCGGTGAGGTAGATCAGGGCATCTTTGCAGAGACTGAAGTGTCCTAGGTCTACTATCAGCAGTACACTTAAGTTTATAGCTTCTAGGTGACTTAGTTCCTGCAGACATTTCCGTAGGTGACTAACCTCAATCATTTAAGTTTTGTGAACTTCTGTATTAGAGGGTGACATTTTTTGATTCTTTCTCCAGAACCTTAGAATGTACCTTTTTGAGACCTGTGAGCCTCATGCACTGACTGCACAGTCAGGGCCATGGGGGTAAATGTGTGCGTGTGTGTGTGTGTATTTACATAACTAAAATTAAATACACAGACCATTTCTATACTTTACTAAAATTAGACGTACAAGGAACAGAGGCTAAGTCAGTGCTTTACTATTCAACAAAATGCCTTCAAAATTTGTGAAACAGCCATATTCCAAGTGGCCATATTCCAGGCAGCAACTGAGACATCCAAAATATTCTTTTTACAAAAAAACACGAGGTTTCTGAATATGTAAAAATCAGTAGAAAATTAACCAGGTGACAAGAGTCATTACAGTGGCTTCCAAACTCTTTGAAAGAAAATAGTGGAAACTTTTTTTTAAAAAAAGGAAGTGTTTTATCTACTGAAATCTGATCTGAAGCAGCACCCCGGCGTGGGGAGAAAGCAGAAGCCCCAGTGGGCTCCACTCCACTGGCCCCTGAAGCACTGCTTGTCCTCCAGGACTCCATGGATCATAGCCCAGAACCTATAGTTCCACAGAAAAATCTGAGGCTACCAATTTTTATGTAACAGAGTTTATCAATTTGGATAGGATACGAACCAATGTTTCATAGAGTTCCTTTAGAAGACAGATTTGGGGGGAAGAAAGCAGTTAGTGGAGTGAAGGAAAAACACATTTAAGAACATCCAATTAATTCAAAATTTCTGCATAGTATCTAGCCGGCAAAAGCCCTGGGTGAACACAGGAGGTACAGATGAGTAACTTTAAAATTTCAGTGCGCATCAGAAGCATGTGAGGTGCCTGTTAATGAAACCAGAGATGCCGAGGTCCCACCTCCAGAGACCCCAATTCCTCAAGTCAAGGGCTGGTTGCTGGGCTTAGGCAGCCACACTGTCAACCAGCTCCTGAGGTGATTCTGATGCTGCAGACAGACTGCAGAGTACACTTGGAGAAATAGGAGATAAGTCTTCAAGGGAAAATTTGAGAAAGGCAGGGGCATACTTCTAAAAAGCAAAACCAAAACAACCTCTTCTGTCTTGTTGCTGAGAACACACCTTCATTCAGATTGGGATAGAGTAACAACACTATTTTTCCGTTTTAAATTTCTAGATTTTTAAAGTAAATCTACCTATGTTCCATTGTCCCAAATTAGGTAGAATTTTTAAAAAGTCTGAATATAAAGTGCTGGTTCTTGTTTCAGTGTTATCATTTTGAGGGAAAAACCACACAAAGCTTACAAATTACGTATTCAGATCCACATGAATCTGTAAATTAACATCACCTTTAAAGTTTTCTAAGTTAGCGCAAATTTAAAATTCCATAATATACATTAAATACCATTTTACTTTATATTACAAATGCACACTATTTTTCTTTTGAGATACTGGTAGTATTCATTTTTACAGCACAAAAAGAACTGTTTACAATTTCTGAGTCACAGTATATTTTCCAACTCTAAGTAGGCAAACATATACTACATGTTTTTTGACACACACTAAAAAAAAAAAAATAATAATTTTGACTATAAAATTTTATAAACATTAGCTACATTAAGGGTTCACAGCTGATTGTTGCAGAAAACCTACAACACATTTAAGATCATGTAATCTTACCATTAGACAACTTGTATTTTAAAACACAAGTCAGTTTGATTTCTATTAAACGTAACAAAGCACTGAAAATTATCTCCATCTACTTATGGGATCCCTAAGAGCTGCCAGGTATTCAGTATTTAAGCTACTAAGTTTGCGAGGAGTTAGGAATGCATTAGAACAGTAAAAGATGAGAGAAATATGAAAACAGACATGAAGACATGCTTTACTACACTTCTTCCTGAGAATTTAGAAGTTACTTTTTTTTTTTAATCAAGACAGTTTAAAATGGAACAGAAAAATCCTGTGGCAAATGATGTTTTGTAAAGTGTGGAATCCCTGGTAATGTCAACAATTGCTACTCTAAAATATAACTTGCAAACATGAGTCTTATAAATTGTACTTATTTAAGACAAGGCACATGCCTACACATTTATTTGAAATGCTGAGTAAATGTGCCTAAAAAGTTAGGGAATTTAAAAAAAATAAGATAGTATGTTTTATGATATGGTATTCTGAAATAACTTTCCTAAATAAAAATTAAGTCTGAATGAGTGAATACAGTAATAGGTAAACTTTGTGAAGGGTCAAAGCAGGGAAAAAACTTCACTGGATTATGAAAACTGAAAAAACAATTTGTTTTTAAATAAATGAGGGTGTTGTATATAAATCTGTTCTAAATCAATGTAACATTAGAGTTACAGTTTTAAAAATTTAAAAAATGATGTTATTTTGATTATTTTAATTCTGATATCCCATATTAAATATTTACTTTGATTCTATAATTAGCACTATGAAATATCGATAAAATATAGCCTAAAGCAAAGTGAATTTAACAGTATATTTGTAAAATGTGGTATCTGTAACAATTTTGACCATGAATTAAACAATGAAGCTCATTATACTCAAAACATGATCAGCCCCTTGAAAGAAAATCTACAAACTCTCCCACCACCGCAATAGGTAACCTACCATGAATGGTACATGAATAAGGTGAAAACAGCTCTGCTCACAAAATCTTAAGAATACTAGAATTTAGCTGCTCCCACTGAGACCTGGAAGAGGTTAATTTAAGCAAAATGAAAGCATTCTAATGTAATGCATTGACTACTGTAGACACTACTTAGTTGTTCCTTCAAAACATGGACTGGGCCTGAAGGTGACTGAAATTTAAGTTTCTGGCAATTCTTAATAGATGACAGATTCATAATAGACCCTTAAGGGGAGCTAACGGTGTTTGGGGGGATACATTCCAATCCTTCAGAGATTAATGTCATAAAAGACCATCAAGCCCACAAATGGGCCATTTGTCCTAAAACACCAGGCTGGAGGCCCCGTGGGGCGGCCCCACGGCAGGACTTGAGGGAGTAGGCTGGGGAGCAGCAGAGGGGCACCCTCGGCATATTTCTGAAGAATGAGAATATCTACATAATATATCTGTCACGAGAATTAAATTATGGGTTTCAACTATTACTTAGGCTACACTTCTGATTGTGAGTAGCAGAATTTATGTGATCAATTTAACTTATTAAATAAAGCAATATATTGTAAACACTAAACACAGGTATACGACAATGAAGAAATAAATAAGTAAAAAAATATATATCTCTCATTTTAAAATAAATATGATATAAACATTTTAGCAGAGGATTCCATATCCACTTCCCCAAGGGGAAATTCTGTTAAGTACTTTGGATATAAAAGACTACTATATTTCAAAATACTACCAGACCACTAAATTTTTAAAACTTATCAATTAACACTGAACATTTTTGGGCAGTTAATCTGACTGGCAAATTTTCTTTAGTACATTTTTTTGAATTGTTGACACTGTCTTTTAATCAAAAGAGAAGTTGGTGAACCATCCAGCTTTAAACCTGTAACTTTCTTTTTCTTTTCTTTTCTTTTTTTGGCCACTCCCCCTGCAATGGAAGCGTGGAGTCTTAACCACTGGACCACGAGGGAAGTTCCAAAACCCGTAACTTCCAATCCAAAGTGCTCTGAATGTTAATTTTGCAATTCACCTAGGTGGTTCTCTTTTGGTTATATGGGGATAAAACAAGATGCTGAATTTCAGCTCAACTTGGTCATTAACAGAGTTAACCAAACAACATTAGGGGGTCTGAAAATGTTCCTAAAATAAAATTTAAAATAAAAAATCTGAGTGTTGTCTTCCTGTTACATGTCTCCTTTTGGGGTTTCCTGGAAACAGATCTTTATGGATCCACCTGGTGCTGGGCTGTAGGAAATCTTAAGAGGCATGCTGCAGGGAGGATGTCCAGCATGAACCATGCCAGTTTGACACCAACTATCTCCTTTCAAAAACGCAAGTAATTTTTAAAACGTTATGGTGTCACCACAGTAAAAATTAAGATGGAAATGATTTTCCCACCCACATCTTGTTGCATGTATGTGTCCATCAACTGTGTGGCTCAAGAATAAGGAATGAGTGCACACTTCAGCGAGCCAACTCTCAAACACAGAGCCTTCAGGGAATGTCCTGGGACTTTTAGTTAGTGCTACATGATCAAAGAGTTTGCTGAAAAAAGACCAGGCATTTGGAAGCAACCGGAGCTCTGGCTGTTTTTGGAATGCTATTTACATAAATGTATACCCATTACACTACGGATGAAATGAAGACTAAACCAGTTGACAGAGTTCTATTTTGGATGAATGTGTATCTACTCGTTTGTGAGGATTCTGCACTAAGTTCTCTCTTCCTCCTCCACCCACTCAGTTTCCTTTGTGTCCTCTGGATCTGAAGTACTAGAGATGTCGTCATCTGTTTGTTCTCCAGAGAAATATAACATCAGCGCGTGTGTCTTGTGGGTTATGGTGACAGTGCAGGGCCCCTGGGCCCATGGCTCCCCATCTACCTGCATCGGCATCATCGAGCACTTCAAGATCAGCTAGAATTAGGGACAAATAACGAGAGAACAGTCAGTCCCCAAAAAGCTCGGGAAAATCTTCCTTAATAACATCCCAAGTCCCTTAACCCTCTTCTCAGGGACATTTATTAGCATTTCACTCTTAGAAAATTAATCTGAATATATCTTTACTCCTCAATTGTTTAAGGGATTCTTTTTCACTGAACACTTCATTTCTTCAGCTGGATTGAGGGTCGTATTTCCTGTTTCTCCCCATCCTACTCACCCCTGGTGGAGGGTGACCCACAGCGTGGGCTGTAAACCACACACTGCTTTAAGGCAAAGGTACAGTATGTACATTTACTTCTACACATCAGTGGCTTAGAAATGGACAAATTAGTCCATTGCAGCAATATTTCACCTACCCGCACTGTATGTGCTTGTCCTATTCGAAAAGGATTTGCCAGCTTCACTTGAATCTGAGCACAGTGGAAAGACCCATATACTCCAACAACTTCCAGTAAACCATCATCATGCCTAAAATTGGACAAAGGAAATATGGATTATGTGATGCAATAAAATAAAATCAGCCCCAATAGGACAATTACTTTTTAACATAGGTGGACCAACAGCTTATTAAGTATTGATATTAACAAGGTATACAATAAAGAAAATCTGTGGGAAAAATGTTAAAAGTCTACAAAGAACAACAGAAACCAGTGACATAAAAAACCACTTGCAAATGTACATACCTGGCTAGAGGGTAAGTCTCATCTCCCATCCCTTCCCACAGTCTGCAGCCACCGCCCCAGTAGCCAATGTTCAGAACGATAATACCTTCCAAATTCGGCAGTTCTACTCGCTCACCATCCAGCTCTAGCTTTAAAGAAATACAAGGAGTAAGTTACTTCAGGGTATGCTACTGCCAGACATAGTCACTTAGAACTCCCATCTGTTTTCATACACGTAAGATGTGACAGCTGGTAGGAAGACTGCTTCCTACTCCTCACTCCAGGTAACCTGGCCTTTCTCACCTGTTCAATGTTTACTGTAATAAATGAATTATAACAAATGAAATTTTCTAAAACCGAGGTCATCCAAGAAATCCTTTTTTGTGGAATCCCCTTCTGTTTTCAGGCTTTCTCTAACTTGCTGCTTCAACAGCACCTCACACTGTTGACCCCCTTCCTCTTTTCCTGAATGATTCCCCTCCTTTGCTTTCTGGGAGCCAGACGACTTGTCTGGATGTTCCTCCTCAGTCACTACTCCCACCCTCACGCTGAAGGCATCCCACATAGCTATGTACTGGGCTCCTTTCTCTTCTCTACACACTCTGGATTGAAATCTGAGCCACTTCTATCTTGCTAATTGCCATCTCTGTGCTGATGGCTCTATTTCGCTTGTCCAGGAAAGTGAACTGGGCTAGATCTATAAATATTTTTTTTTTTTTTTTTTTTTTTTTCCTTGCGTTATGCGGGCCTCTCACCGTTGTGGCCTCTCCCATTTGCGGAGCACAGGCTCCG